GAACCACAAGGTCGGCTGTTCAACCTCACCAGGGTTGCTATGAGACAGAATCAACTTGATGGCACGTAACAGCAACATATTGTAAATGGGGCCCTTGGCTCTCTGCCATCTGAAACTCAGCATTGTTGTTGTTGTTAAGTGCCATCGAGTCAGGTCCGACCCATAGCGACCCTGTACAGGGTTTCCAAGGGTATAAATCTGTACGGGAGTAGAAAGCCTCATCTTTCTCCCGCGGAGCGGCTGGTAGTTTCAAACCGCTGATCTTAAGGTTTGCAGCCCGATTCGTAACCACTATGCTACCAGAGCTCATCATAGAAGCCGCTGTCTCCATTTGGGTCCCTCCCCCAGACCCCTCCATATCTTGGGTAGTACAGACATGCCTCTTGTTCTTAGAACCACCCTTTCAGTATGAGGAAAAGCTGTTCTACAATAACTGGGGGACCTTACACTAGTCGCCCTTCTGTCTTGGGTTATTTCCCCCCTTACATAAGAAACTGGACCCCAGCTTTCCTTTACCTCCAGACCCTGCAAACTCCTGCTGTGTGGGGGCTTGGTTTAGACTCCTGTAATGAAGTTCTCTTGAAAGGGAACTTCCTTGCTCTGTGTCACATTGAGTGGTAATACCCTTGAAAGCACTGGCCTGTCCCTTGCAGGCCATGTAGAACCAGGCCTCCTCTCCAGACTCACAGGCAGGTGAATTGTGGGAATATCCTAGTGATGTCATTGCTGCTCTCTGAACTCACCAGACCTAGAGCCAGGACTCCCTGCTCTCAGTAGGGTGCCAGGACCATGGCGTTTCTATGTGGCCTCAAAACTCTTCAGTCTATAGCTACTCATTTTAAAAATGGGCCATTTACAGCCCACAACGGTGTAGTTAGGAACAAAGCTGAGATTGTTCCAGCTCTTCCATCTCCTTACCCATTTTCTCTCTGTCATCCTTTCCTTGATAGTGATAGATAGACAGCTGCCACTGACTCTGATTCACGGTGACCCCATGTGTGTCAGAATAGAATTGTGTTCCATAGGGTTTTCAGTGGTGGCTTTTTTGGAAGTAGATTGCCCGATCTTTCTTCCAAGGTACCTCTGGGTAGACTAAAACTTGCATTGTTTTTGTTACGTGTTAACCATTTGGACCGCCTAGAGCCACCGGGATGGCCAGAGTTTGTCTCTCATACTTCGGACATATTATCAGGAGGGGCCAGTCCCTGGTGGAACCCTAAACAACGATTTATCATATGTACGCATTCATGTCACAGCTGCAGTGATATGTTTTTTTCCCCCAGAAGAAAGATTAGTAACTTCA